GTGTGTGTGTGTGTGTCAGAGGAGAGAGGGGGAAACAGAAGATCACACTCAAGAGGGGATGAACAAGAGGAAAGAGTTCAGTCAGTGAGCACAGGAGAGGTGACAGGCATAACTGGGGCACTCCAGAGGAGCCACATAGCCCAACCCGACTCTTCTTAGCTCTGCCAGGCCCTTCTGCGTCCTTCGTCCTAGGCTCTTTCCTTCCATAGCTGTAATGTGCTCATGACTTTGTCCACGTGAAAACCTCTGGGAAGTTCGTGATTGCCTATGTGCTTTGACTCTTGTTCTGGGAACTGCACTTCACCAATTATTATTTCCATACATAAAGGAACGAAACTTGTGGATGCCTCTGCAATGGCCCCGGCAGCAGCCAAGGTCAAGTCCTGTCCAGCCTACCCCCAGCTCCTCGCTTCCACTAGGAGAACCCGACAGTCCAGCTACTAGCCCCACAAAGGAAAAGGATTGTGGTGAGGCACCGATGGGTGTACCTGAACCATGAAATACTTGCATTGAAGGGACTCAGCCATCTCAGTTGGCCCCTGTGACTAGACCCTGTCACATTGTTGGGGCGGGGCCCTTCAGGCCACAGGGAGGATGATTAAAAACACTGACACTGCACGCTTGGGACACTGCACACTTGGTCCAGGTCCCTAAGGAAGTGGCTTCAAAGAGGGAGCCCAGCTTCCAGCCCTGCCTATAGGACTCACGTGTAGTCTAGGAAAAGTTCCATACAGCACCTGGGGCTTGTCCTGGGCCCATACCTGGCTCAGTTCGCACCCAGTTCTCCTGTCTCTGCAGCAAGTCTGAGAGGGTCCCTGGGAGAAACACAGAACGGAAGGCGACCATGGAATCGGGCCCAAAGAAAAAAGAGAGACAAAAGTGATGGGTTTCCCCTCTTTTGTTCTTGGCACGCTTCCTTCTGGAGGCTCTGGGGAAGGGGAATTCGATAACCATGTAACTTCACCCTTAGATAGCCCCTGAGTAGTCTGGCTCACAGCCAGGCCCTCTGGGAGGGAAACTGCCAGCAATGTCTTCAGAATCCATTTGTCTTTTCTTCTTGTGGCCCTCTCCTCCTCCCCTTTAGCCCTTCCTCTGCCCCTGCCTCTGGCACCCTGTCTCTCAGGATCTTAGCTGGACAGATCTAGTTTCATCCTACTCTGCCAGTCACAGCCACAGAACCATACCAAGGCTTTCCTTTGTTCTTTTATTTTTCTCTTAATCCCCCATCTTCCGCTCTGTAAGCGAGGACACCAATCTGCTACATATTTGATATCCTCCGCTTTGTCTACCTGCCATCTTCATACTATTACTTTGAACTTTAATTACATAAACGTATTGGATCAAATTTGTATCCCATCCTTTGAATTTTCCAGTTCATCATTGGCTTCAAAACTGCTTTTATAGAGATTTAAAACTGCACAGATTTCAGGTTCACAACTCGTTATGAAACATGTAAGCACCCCTCAAACTATCACCATGATTTTCAGTGAATATACTTATCACCTCTAAATCTTCTTCCCGGCCCTTCAGGATTCTTTCTCTAAGTACCATCACTATGTTAGTTTGCATTTCCTAGAATAAATAAATAAATAAATAAATAAATAAATAAACAAATAAATATGTAAATAAAGCCATACACTAGGTGCTCTTTTTTTTTTTTTTTTAGTGTCGCTTTCTCCACTTAATAATTATTTTGAGGTTATCTTATATCGCTGCAGGTATCAAGAGTTTGTTCCTCTTTGTAACCAATTATAGCGACACAGTGGGTATGGTCTTTCTACACTTTATCTGCTCATTTCTTGATAGATACTTGAGATGTTGTCAGGTTGCGATTAGGACAATAAAACTGGCATGACATCATTCATTCACAATCCTTTGTACAGCTACACAAGTTTGTATATAAGTGTGAGATAACTGTGTTCTAAAGCGTGTGCTTAATCTTTAAAGAAACTGTCAAGAGCTGTGGCTATAGTTTAGTTGGTAGAGTACTTGCCTATCATGCTAGAAGTCCTGGCTTTGATCCAGCACACACCCAAAAGCATGAGCATGCCTCCAAAACCAGTACTCACGAAGTAAAAGTTGGGGGAATCAGAGGTTCAAGGCCATCTTCAGCCACATAGCAGGCTCAATGTTGAGACCAGACTGATATGCTTGAGGCCTAGTCTCAAAAAAATAATAAATAAACACATAGTAAAAATAGTTAAAATGCTTTCTAAAGCAGTTGTAGTATTTTAGTCTTACCAGGTGTGTGTGTAAATTCAGGTTCCACTGACTCCCTACCAGTACTTGGTTGATGTGTTATTTGTTTTTAACCCTTTCAGATGGGTACAGAATAGTCATTTCATTGTGATTTTAAATTTACATATGACACAAAACAAAAAACTCTGACCATCTTTATAAATCCTTTTTTTTTTCTTCTTTATAAATGTTGTTTGTCTTCTTTATTAAGGTGTCTATTCAATTCTTGCTCTTTTTTAAAGAACTGGGTTGGATTTCTTGTGTGGTTTATTGTGATACAATTTTTTGTAACAAAGAAGTCACAGTTTCAACGTCTCAAGTATATGAGTCAGTAGCATAACGTTGCTCGGTCAGCATCATTATCATTTCTAAACCTTACCATCATCCTGCCTTCCTGGGTGCTAGGATTACAAATGTGTGCCATCCCGCCTGGCCAGTTTTGTCTTTCAAAGCATCCTTGATCACGGAAGAACACTTTGAGTGACACTGAGCTGCTGATTGTCTGGCAAATGTTTATTAGTGTTCTCTGTGTATCAGCAATGCCTGGGGTGTGGGGTGCAGACATACACATTAGCAAGATAGGGTTATTTAAATAATGGTGACCTTCCATGCCTGCTCTCTTTCTCACTAGTGAAGGACTTTGAACATCTGGCCCCTAATCATTGTTACTGTTTTTAATCCAAGCCACATGAACTGGCGTAACTGAAACTGGTCCAGACAAGAAAAAAAAAAGATAAACAATGAACCAAGAGGGGCATGGGTTTGATGCTTGCTTAGCACATTGACAGCTGGAGTGTTGCAGGGTCTTTATCAAAGAAGACTGCTTGGACAATTGCTTCTAAGACAATAGAAAGTCTTTAGTAGCTGCCTGGCGATTACACCATGTGTTCAGGATCCTAGTGTAGGCCCGAGTCTTCCTCAGGGTGAGCTTTTAAGCACAAAAACCATGCCCTGGTTTGACGTACCGTTAACAAGAACATTTAGCCAGAAGCAGAACTACAGAATCCAAAAATTGAGGTTGGTACATTTAGGGACTTTCCCATAACTATGGACTTTGATGGATTAGGCCTTTGTTTTCGCTGTGGAAGGTGGTACTGTGTACCTGCTGAGCTTTACAGCCTGAATGGTACTTCCACCATGGAGTCAGTTGTGCTAAGGTCTGGGGGCCCACTAAACACCAGGGCCCTCTTACAGAAGGAGCCTTTGAAACATCTGGTTTGATCAACCACTTTTCTTCTTTTCTTCATAGATTCAGTAAATATAACCAAGCGCCTATGATATACCAGGCATCTCCCAGGCCCTTGTTTCTGTTTTTAAGACTTGTTCAAATTATCAGATGTTCACACCCCAAAGGGAGCCATCATAGCTTAGCTTCTTGACTTACAGAGGAAAAACTGAACATTCTGAGGGAAAAAAACAAAAACAAAAACAAAACAAAACAAAACAAAAAAACTTCCCCACACAGCTAGCTGCTGGGTGACCATGCCCAGATAGGTTAAATTTCTCCTTTTCTTCCTATTTCCCTCCCATAATGATTGAGGCTGTGGTCAAGGCCTTAAGCTCAGGGTGAGGCAAAGCCTGACACAGAGCAGTGGACAGAACCTGGCCGATGATGCCTGATCAAGCACAGGTGCAAGCAGCAAATGACAGCCACTGGAACAGCGGCACCTTCTGTGACAAGCCTTCACAGAGGGCTACAGACAAGCTACCGGGCAAGGGCATCAAACTTAGCAGAGCTTGCCAGGGCTCACCTCATGTCTGGATGCTTTCTGGTAATCTAGGAAACCCTGAGATGAAGTCTAGCTCCTGATACTCCAAACAAAGGAATCAGTAGGTGGCTGCCACATTTTTGCTTTGAGAAAACAAAGCAAAAAATAGGGTGAGGTAGGGAGGGGAGGGGCAACTTTTACCGCTGTGGTCACGCTTGGGCCCAGTCTGTTTTGTTTTCTGTAAGGCCAACTTAAAGAAGCTTGTGGAATCACCTGTAGGGAGCAGCTAAGGGGATTATCTGGTTAGACTCTGCTGGGAAAATGAGCACGCCTTCTGTTGCTGAAAGGTGGGGTTCACGGTCAGGCTCTGCCCATCAGCTCCCCAGGGCTACTATACCTCCTGCCACCCTTCGGGAAGCTCTTGCTGTCAGTGGTGAGCCACACCTGACCTGAAGTCAGGATCACAAATTCAAGGCAAGGCTCTGACAGAAACTTGCTGTCAAGCTCAAACAAGCTCCCTTTCTGTCGGTTTCCCAGTCTTCAAGGGGGTGTGACCACGCTCTCACGTCCCCAGCCTCTGTGAATGTAAAGACCATATAGAAGTCAGGTGTGAACTCAGCTGTGCCAGAAACACTGGTCTGGATCTTTCCAGGCCAAACAAATTAAAAGAAGGAGTCACTTCAATACATAAAGATTCTGTTGTTGTTAGTTTGTTCTTTTTTCTGTTTTTGAATGGAACCGGATGGTCTGGCCTATCTTCCTGGGAAGCTACAGCAGCCTTGACCTCCCAATTCACGACAAACTGAAGATCCGGCCACCAGAGTTGGCTCTCGCCTGCCACCTGGTGTCCCGTCCCACCTACTGCCTAGAAACCACGTGTAAGAAAGTGCTTACAACCTAACTACGCACGTTGGTTTCGACCGGCCCTAACCAATACGGATAGGGAAGGCGGGGCAGAGGAAAGCAAAAGCCCAATCACTTCCTCCTTTCCAGGGAGAAGGTGGGGCTTGGTATTTACCATGTTGGGTTTGTCCGCAGCGCTAATTACTTTTTCCAAAGGCTGCAGGGCTTCACTCCGGCTGGCGTCTCCGCCTCGCACCTCCTGCTCTGCCACTACGATCTTGGGGGCTGCTGGTCCCGAGTACCATGTGTGACGACGTCCTGCTGCCCCCCTTCGTCCTGTCCTTGCTGCTGCTGGTGTGGGGGCTGGACCCGGGCACAGGTAACGTCCCTAGCTCTCGCGGCCACCTTCCCCGTGACTTCCTTGAAGCATCCTAGCGCCCGGGTGCACGGATGGACCGCTGACAGCATCCCCGGAGGGGGACGGAGGCCGCTGCCGGAGAACTGGGCTCCGGTTTCCCCCTCGGCACGCCGATGGCGCGCCGTCCCCGGTTGCGATCGGGTGGCTTCGTCGGGCTGGGGAGGCCCGGCTCGGGGGGGGAAGGGGGGGGGGGGGGGGGGGAAGGGGTCACGGCTGCGCGATGACCACGGAGCCCCGCGAGCCAGAGCGGGTGCCGCCGGCAGCGGGAGGTCTGGCGGCCAGGCCGGGGCTGACGCGTGTCCTCTCTCCCGCAGCTGTGGGCGACGCAGCGGCCGACGTGGAGGTGGTGCTCCCGAGGTGGCTGAGCCCGGACGACGTGCACCTGCAGACGCTCCGGGGAGCCGCGGGGCTCCGGCGGTGGCGGCGACCCCGAGCATCTCCCAGTGGCCCCCGTGCAGGGCGAGGAGAGCGCGCCCTGCTGCTGCACCTGCCGGCCTTCGGGAGGGACCTGTACCTGCAGCTGCGTCGCGACCTGCGTTTCCTGTCCCCGGGCTTTGAGGTGGAGGAGGCGGGTGCCGCGGAGAGCAGCACCCACCCCACCGAGCTGTGTTTCTACTCCGGACGAGTTCTGGGCCATCCGAGCTCCCTCGTCTCCCTAAGCGCCTGCGGCGCCGCCGGCGGCCTGGTACTGCCCGCGCCCCCTATGGGTCTGCCCTGCCCGGTTTGTTGCGTCGCCTGGGGTGGTCCCCCGGAGGGCTGGGCGGGAGAAGACCTTCCTCCCAACTCCCTCATTTGGTCTTCCAGCCTGTGCCTTCTGAGCAGAGAGGACACAAGGGGAGGCCTGTCATTGCCCCCTCTGTTGTGTGCTGAACCTGGCTGAGGTGGGGTTGCATTGAGAAATTAGCTATACCTCACCTAGGGGAATCCGTATGAAACTGTCAGGCCCCACCCACCCAGGGTCTGCCCAGCTGTGTATGTTTTATGCACGTGTTAAGTGGGGGAAAATAATGTCCATTTCATCTGTCTGGGGATGGGGTAGCTACGTACGTCTCTTCTGTCCTTTGAGCCTTCTCTTTTATACTGGGAGGGGACACCAGGCAGGGCATGGCTAGGCACACTTTTGTTGGCTGAAAGGTAAGACCAAGAGAGGAAGTGTGGCTGGTAGCCTTACTTCCTTACACCAACAGCAGGCATTTGTCTGGATCCACCCTCAGTGGGAACTGTGGGGCGCTCACCCGTTCAGGTGCAAGCCTTGTTCTTAGGCTTTCTCTTCTCAAAGACCTTGCCTTGCTGTGTTCGAAACACCTGTGACAAGCACGCTGTGGCGCAGGGGGAGTTTGCTGTGGTTTTGCCCTGTTTGTGCTCACACTTGGGCACTTGGCTCCATCGGTGCCCAGCCAAATTCTTCTCTGCTTCTTCATGGTGCCCCGAAGGAGAGCACATGGCTGGCAGATGGGTTGCCCCGGAAAGGCCTGGCATCAGAGCATGCAGCGTACACACTGTTTGTATATGTTTTGTCATATTTGTCATAGTAGACCTCTGGGAAAGCAGAGATAGATAGATAGATAGATAGATAGATAGATAGATAGATAGATAGCCAGGCAGACAGAGATATAGGCAGCCCACCGTGGGCCAAAGAAATTGCCCCTTTCACTTAATCTTGCATCACCACCCACAATTCTCCAGCCAGTAGCAAAGCTCGAAAGCCCATGACTCCAAAAGAATTTAGATGAGGTTTCTGCTTTCTTGGCACTGGGTTTGGGGGACCTGCAGATATAATTTCCCGGGAGCAGCCTAATCTTCAAGAATGTTTTGAGGTCTCCTGTTAGGGTATAGTTTACTTTTGTTTGACTGGGAGAAGTTGGCAGCCTTGGCGAAAGAAGGCAAGATTGTGGTGGAGCCTGGTAGGCGTTAGTGTGGAACGAGGGCAAAGGGTGTGGGCTGTGGGCGAGGAGGCTTGTGGGAGTGACACAGGCTCAGATCGTTGTAGGACTGGGGTCAGCGCTGTATCATGTTCTGGGAGGGACTCAAAGGCCCACATCATTTTTCCTGTTTTTGCCAAAGTGTTTCAAGTCTAGGTCACATCCCCGTACTGTACATGGAAACATCTGAATCCCATTTGCTGCGGTTTCGTGAGTTTCTGGAGAGGTCAGAGTTTATACTTCTTGGTGTAAAGTTTCCAGCGAGGAGCTATCTGTGAAGGAGCCCAGGCTGGAAATCTGGAGAACATTGATTTAAAGTCCTCACAGAGTGATTGCTGAGCCTCCTCACGGATGCCATCTGAGCCAGCTTTTCAGGAAGATGCGCTGCCCTTCGCCACCATGTGAGGGCGCTGTGCCTTAGAGAAAGGAACCCAGCCAAGACTTGAGTTCACCCTGAGCCAGTTGCGGGTGGACTTCTGAGTCTTTAGATTTTTCAGTTCCAGTTTGAGGAGACACTGCTGTTGTTTAGTCTGCCTTATTCATCCTGTTCGTGCTCCCCGAGTACACATAGGCAAAGGCCAAGGGAAGGAGGGAAGAGTCATGGCTGCCAGCTGGTCTCTTAGTGTCAGGGTGATGGTGGGACACGAAGGAAAGAAAGCCTGTACCTGAGATTGCCCTGCACCCCATCTTTGGCGTGGTTGTTCACCCAGGTGGGTGGTGAAATTGTGCTAGGTACCTAGCGGTTAGAAGCTTTCTGAAGTGTGCAGTTGTGTGTGTACTCACCAGGATAGTCTCAGCTACAAGACATGCGTAGGAAGCGATGTCCAGAAGGCAGCTCTTGGTATCTGTGGTTGGGGGTATTTCAAAAGCCTTCTTGTATTGAAAGAATCATGTTAAGCAGGGATTGGCAGACCTTTCCCAGAAAGGAGCAGAAAGTTAAGCTCCGAGAGCCATCTAGTCCCAGTCATGTCTTCTTAACGCTGTCATTTTTGAGCGACAGCAGCTATGGGAGGTAGCTAGGCATGTGAGTGTGGCTGTGTCCAACAAACCCTGTCCTGGATTCTGGGTGGCATTTTGGTCATTAGTACATTTTGCCCTTAGCCAGCGTCTACAAATGGCTGTGTCTGCACAGGGGCAGGAGTAGCATGGGTTTTATCTTGCTGGCACTGGTGCTGTTTGTGCACAGAGATGTTGGGAGTCTGTGTAAAAGGAGCTTCATTACCAGGATACAGCACTTCTAAATCGTTTATGGGGCACAGAGGGTAAGTTGCCCCCCCTGACTTTGTTGGCTGCAGGCAGTGACGTGGGCCTGTGGTGTTTCGCCTTCTGTCTTATCAGGAAGAGCTTTGCCAGCTGCACTTTTTGGATCTTCAAAGACCCCAGGCCCAAGGATTAATTGTTTTCTGTTTCTGCTGCTTCATTTTATTTACATTTCACGGAGTCTTTAGATGTAGCGTAGTTTTGGCAGGATTCCTGTAACCATGGAATTGGAAAGCAATGAGCTTCAGGCTGGTGGAGAAGGTATCTCTCCTAATGGGTTTACCCAAGCCACCTGTGACCAGCACTGGGCGATGGAGGGCCAGCAGGATTCCAAATTGAACTTCTTGGATAGAACAGGCCAGTGGGGGTGAGGCAGGGGGTTCAGGCAGAGAAAGAGGACCAATTGCAGCAAAAGCTCTTTGTGGCCTGTCTGGAGTGAGTGTATGTATAAAAGGACTGTTTTAGAAGGGGGGGATGGGGTCTGAGAGGAAGGACACAGGCTGCCATTGGGTCTGATGGACTGAGCGGTGGCCCTCCTTCCTCTTGCAGCTCTGCAGACCCAGATCTGTTCACTCCGCTGTGGCTGAGGACGTGGTCCACAGGAGTGTACTATGTGTGAGCTGTGGGACCAGAGAGGACACCAGAGTATTCTGGCTGTGGGACACCAAGGAGCCAGGTCCATTTCTCAGGCCACTCCAGAAGGACCAAGGAGAGTAGAGTGTGCCCAGGCATGACTCTTCTGAAGTCTCAGCCATGTGGCACAGCTTACTGGCTCTGCCATGCAGTTTAGACACTGAGTTAGTTATCTGGGTTACCACCTTTGCTCTGGCTGGTCAGCAGAGGCAATACCGATTTTGTGAGCCATGATGGGGGAGGGGGCTCTTCCAAACCACCCTTTGTAGAGCTCTTGTTACCCCGGCTGCCGAAGCACTCACTGGCTGGGGGGCCTCAGGCCCCATCCACTCCCATCTGTACACACTTCCTCCCCTAAAAACCAAAGTGTGTGCTCTCTAACGGCACCAAGAGAACTGCAAGAATAAATCCGTGTTCCACACCTGCCATGTACAGAATGCTTGGGTAAGGCCTGCCAAGCCTCAGAGATAAGCGTAACACAACCCTGTCTGAAGGCTTCCTCATATGCATGGAAGATGAACCAGAGAAGCAAGAGGAGAGATTCTTGAAGATGGATACTGGGGCCAGGCTGGGTAGACCTCAGTCAAAAGAGGGTTGGAGCTGAAGGGAGTGGACCTCATGTTCTAGGACAGAAGAGTTACAGCCTAGCTACCAAGGCCAGCTCCTTCCAAGATAAGGGACCTAGGAGTTGATAGTGGGGTAGGGTAGGGTGGGCTAATTAGGGGCTGATGGGAGATGAACTGAATAGACATGTTTGAGTAGGATGTGATGGTAGACCAGATACCAATCGGTAGCATATGAAATGTCCCACAGAACAGGATTTTTCAACCCTGAGCTGAGCAGAGACCCCTACAGGGCTGGTTAAACTAACCAGGCCTACCCACAGGCCCTTTGTAGGTGCTATCACTGCTGCTGTTGGCCTGGTTGTCTGGGGCATCCTGGTAAGGACATGGTGGAGAGGTCTGGAGAGAGACCTTTGGGATGACAGGCTCAGGCTTTCGATGGGGGAGATAACCATGGATAGGGTGATATCCACAGAAGGGAGGTTTCACAGAGAGCAGGCAGTCCTTTGAAGCTATCTGACTTTAGTGAGCAGAAGTGAAGAGACCCGCAAAGGGGTTCACATTCTGAAGAAGAGATAGTGTTGGAAAGACCAGGCATCTGCGTTCAGGAGTTTCACATTTGCAGATGTGGCAGCAAGGCTGAAGGTACAGGTTGGGAAGGCCCTCATGTCTGGCTGTGCAGGGTGGGGATTGAAGGCCCCTGACGCTCTAGCTGCCTCAGTAGAATCTGACAGGTCCATGTCTCTCCTGCATCTTAACTAACCTCCTGCACATACAGACATAAGGGTGTCTTCAGCCCCCAACCGTGTACACACAGACATGACTGGAGACAGCATAGGCATCCCTACATAGCTCTTAGGGCCACAGTTCAGTGTTACTGCTCTAACGGTCATGAGATGCCCAGGTTCCAAATCCAGGTGCTTCTAGACATCAAAGTCAGGGCAGGAGGTAGCTTGAGTCTCCACAAGCTGTTAAAAGCTATTAAATGGTGGTTCTTGTCCATGGCTGTCCATTGAATTTCCTGAGCTTCAAGATGAATATCCATACTTGCATTCCCTGTATCCCCTCCTAGAGTGGGGCCTGGATATCAGGGCTTTTCATGTAATACCATGCATCATAAAGCAGGGGATGACAATTCCCAATCGAGGGCATTGTGGGCTATCTATTTTAGAGGTATCTGGGCCAGTCCATTTAGTTTCTTTAGGAACCATGGCGTGACAGCCTCAGGAGAAATCAAGAAGGATAGTCATGATTCCTGCCTCATTGGAACTATTAGGTTGTGAAAATGTCTGATAACATGGGGCAAACATTGTACTGCTGGGAAGGGGGCTTGGGGAAAAAGTGGAGGATAGGGAGAGATAAGGAGGGCTGGTAAGCACTTAGAGGTAAGACTGTGAGTTGGGGACAGGAAGGGATCCTTTTGACACAGATTGGATGTATTTCTGGGTCAGCCAAGCATCTCATTCTCAGGCCTGCGCAGCCCAGGTAAATGTTGGAAAGAGCCACGGAGCCCTAAATTAGACATTCTCAAGCTGTGTGTAGCCAGCCTTTGGGGGTTTTGTGCGCCAAACAACTCTTTTATAGCAATCACCTGTCAGATATCCTGCCTAACAGATAGTTACATTCTGACTTCTAACGGAAGCAGAATTACAGCAACAAAAATGACTTTATGACCGGGCACCGTGGCACACGCCTGTAATCCCAGCACTCAGGGAGGCAAAGGCAGGCGGAGCTCTGTGAGTTTAAGGCCAGCCTTTTTAACAAAGTGAGTCCGGGACATCAAAGGCTACACAAAGAAACCCTGTCTTCAAAAACCAACCCCCCTCCTAAAAAAAAAAATAATATTATGGTTGGGGGTGACCACTACATGAGGAACTGTATTAAAGGGTGACAGCATTAGGAGGGTTGAGAACCGCTGCTCTAGGTGATGAGAGTGAGGCCTAGCGAGGGGGAAAGGTAGGGCTTTTCTGTGGCTAGCCCATGGGCTGAATACTTTATGTCACTCTTTCTCTCACATACCTGTCCTGGTCATGTCTCTGAAGGTCATGTCTCATGAGAACCAGGAGCTGTCAGGCTGATCTGTTCCTTTATCCGTCCCACAGCCCTGCTCTCTTCTGACCCCAGTGGGAGGAAAGCTCTATGTGGGACACTCCTCCCAAGATGCCCCAGAACCTTTCACTAAGCTAAAAGATTTTGAGTACGCATGTGAAGAGTTTTCCACTAGACGACACTTCTAGCTCTCTAACCCTGAATTCAAGCTGGCTGCTCCATGATTTTTGCACGCTACATGGCTTTGAAAGTGCTGGAGCCTGGAGCTGCTTTTGGCCTCCCGGAGTCAGAGTGCCTCCAGGAGGACCGAGCTTCCCACTAGAGTTGAGGACCAGTTATTACAGAAGGCCAGTTCTGCACTTGCACCTCTGCCTGCACTACCCGCCGCAGCCCCTCTCCACACTCTCCGAGGATCCTGAGTGAGCAAATCCAAGTTCTTGCCTCCAAGGAGAGGGAAAGAGAAGGAAGCTGGGCTCCCCCACGGGTTGTGCAATACCACTCTGAGACAGTTTCATTTAGGCAGTAAAATCTGAGTTGTTGTTGTTGGCAAGGGTTCTAGTGGAATGGAAATCTCGAACCCTGCTAAGAGCTGGAAGTGTGGTCTCCCACTGTATGTTGGGAAGGACACTAGGTTGTAGACAATCCGAGGAGCTGAGCGGATCTACTCTTCCTGTGTAATCTCCATTGGCTTGAGGAAGATGGCCCCCAGCTTGAGACAGGAAACCCTGCAAGCATTGTGTAGAGGACAGTATTCTCAAACCGTCCCCCAGACTAGCACTGTCTGTTAGTGTTGGGGACCTTGCTAGAAGGGCATATAGCTGAACCCAATCCAAGGTCTCCAGGTGCTGCTGCTACCTGCTTCAGCATGTTAACCGTTTTGTTTTGATTTTTCTTTGTGTGGGATGTATACACATCTCACACACATCTTGGAGGTCAGAAGTCCAACCCTGGGTATCTCTTCTTAGATGCTGTACACCTTGCTTTCTTATGAGAAATGGTCCCTCTTTCACTTGAAACATACCAAGTAGGCTAGATTGACTGGCTAGTGAGGCCCAGGGACCCTCCTGTTTCTGCTTCCTCTCCAGTGTTGGGATTATAAGCTTGTGCCACCATGCCTGACTTTCATCCTTGTGTGGCAAGCTCCTTACCAACTGATATATATCGTCATCCCTGTCATGGCTTTGGAAATGGAAGGAGGGAGGATGAATGAGAATGAACATAAGTATATATATGTGTGTATGTATACATATATGTATATACATATATACATACACACATATATATATACACATATATATGGGCCTATGGTATGTATCCATGACTCCTAAGATGGGTCCACCTGATCTGAACCTATGCTGGCCAAGGTAGGCCTGAGATGTTTGGCTCAGGAGAAGGGACGCTGCAAGGACCGGTGTTCAGAGTGGGTCCTTTGATCTTGGGCTGCTTCAGGGTCTTGTAGGGGTTTTGCCTTGTTTTGCTGCCTGCATTAAGGAGGGACACAGATAGCAGGTATCTCGGACAGGGAGGTTTTCAGTGAAGTTAGCTTCCAGGGAAAGTGCTCCGCACGATGCCCCTCCTCACATTCGTATTTACTGTATTACAATGACAAAAAAAGCATGGTGGTGTACATTTTTAATCCCAGTGCTCTGGAGACAGAGGTCAATGATGATTCCTGTGAGCTCTAGGCCAGCCAGGGTTACATAGGGAATCCCTGTCTCCAAAAGAGGGGGGGAGGGGAAGTGACAAATTAAAAATAGTAATTTTTAAGATTTTCATTTGATTTCTAAACCTTATTAGGTAGCAAGTATTCATACTCACTTTTAAGAGGATTATGAGTTATATTTAGGCTCATTTACAAATGGGACTTTTCACCTTTAAATATTTAGTGCTGTCTTAGAAATTTAATATTCAATTTTACATTCAGGGTTTTTTTGTTGTTTTTTTGTTTTTGACTACCTAAAATCAAGCCTTTCAACCTGGTCTTATAAATACAGGAGGGCCTGAGGTCTCTTTACACACCCTGGTTCTGCTTCTAAGATAAACATTCAAATTTGGACTACAGTATGGCTAATATCCATTTGTAAGTGAGTATATACCATGTGTGTCTCTCTGCTTCTGAGATAACCTCACTCAGGATGATCTTTTCTAGTTCCTACCATTTGCCTGCAAATTCCACAATCTGCTTGTTTTTAATAGCTGAGTAGTATTCCATTATATAATGTACCATCATTTCTGTATCCATTCTTTGGTCAAGGGGCATCTAGGTTGTTTCCAGATTCTGGTTATTACAAATAAAGCTGCTATGAACATGGTTGAGCAAATGTCCTCGTTGTATGGTTGAGCATATTTCAGATATAGGCCCAGAAGCTGGATTCTTACTTTTCTGAGAAAGCACCAGATTGATTTCCAAAGTGGATATTAGCCATATAATATAAGATAAACATACTAAAATCTATAGACCTGAAGAAGGTAAATGACAAAAAGGATCCTAGGGAAGATGCTTAATTCTCATTCAGAAGGGAAAACAGGATAGACACCAGAAGTGCTAGAAGAGAGGAACCTATCACAGATGTCCTCTTAAGACTCCTCTCAGCAGGGAATCGAAGCAGATGCTGAGACTCACAGGCACACTCTGGACAGAGTAGAGGAAATCTTATGGAAGAAGGGAGATATACAAAGACCCAGAGGAGACAGGAGGACTTCTCCTATCAGTGGACTAGGGAAGAGGGATAGGGGAAGGAGAGGGAGGGAGGGTGGAACTTAGAGAAGATGAGGGAGCAGGCTACAACTGGGATACAAAGTGAATAAACTGTAAGTGATAAGAACAATAATAAAATTGGAATACAAAATCAAACCCATCGGATACTCTCTCAGCTGCTCTTAAATGCTGCAAATTTGGGGTAGAAATTTGCAGAGGGGGTCGTCACTCCCCCTCTGCCACACATGAGTGAGTGAGGATGACCAATGTCCCTTTGTCTTCTTTCTGGGCAGGTTGGCCTCATCCAGCTCGAGCAGGAGCAGGTGTTCATCCAGCCCCTCAATAATTCAGGGGGCCCATTCGGTGGCAGAGGACATCTGATCAGGCGCCAATGGTCCTCCACCCCCAGCCCATCTACCGAGGTCAAGGGAACCGAGCATCATTGCGAAGTAGTGGCAGGTGAGTCTGTGCAGCAGAGGCGTTGGAATGGCGTGCACACACAGCTGACACCCATCGGGCTCACAGTGGTCTTCCTTCTACAGTCACGTGTCACGTGATGGCAGGGACATAGTTCTGAGAAGGATTTTATTAGTTGTTTTTCTTCCTGCATGAAATCATAAAGTTATGCACTTAGATCAGGATGACTACAATGTCGCCCAGTGGTAGAATCTTACAGGATCACCGCTGTATTTATCATCTCTGGTTAATAGAAACAGTGCTATCGGCATAATAGAATATTTCAGAAGCTTCGCTGTTGTCCGCAAAGCCTTTATTTCTGTGTATATTAGTATTAACATTTCATGTGTAACTGCCCTTTGGAAAAGTTTTATTTCTGCAAGGAACCCAGGACATTTCATTTTCTGAATTGTTTTTTCGTGACAGGGTTTCTCTGTAGGCCCGGCTGTCCTGGACTTAGTTTGTAGACCAGGCTGGCCTTGAATTCAGAGATCTGCCTGCCTCTTCCTCCCAAGTACTAGGATTAAAGGTGGGTGACATCATGCCTGGTTTAATTAAGAGCTTTAGTTTTAAGCATCCAGAGCACGTAGAGACCAGAATACCTTATTACCAAGGCTCAGCTTGGCAGCATAGCTGGGACACTCTGAGGAGACCTTCCTCTGAGGTCATCTGCCTTTGTATAAGCTGGTCCTCAGCCATGGATGCTATAGTGAGAGTTGCCTGGGCAATCTGTTAAACCCTGGGCAGCAGCATCTGCAGCACTTGGGAACTTTTTCACTACTTGCATTCTCCATCCTCATGTCAAACCTGCAGAGACCAGAGTGCCCACAGCCTGGTTCAGAGACATGATCATGTGTGAAAAACACCACTTAAACAGTACCATTTAGGGAAGTGGGGAGATGGCTCAGTTGGGGAAGTTCCTAACACACAATCCTGAGGACCCAGAACCCACAGAAGGAACAGGATTTGGAGGTACACATCTGTAACCCAGCACTGGGGACCCAGGACAAGTGGCTTCCCGGAGGCAGTTGCCCAGCTAGCCTGGCTGAATGGGTGAGTGCCAGGCCCCGTGAGGGAGTGTCTCAGAAGACAAGGGAGGGACTGAGGACGTGGCCTGAGGCTGATTTCCAACATCCATGCACATGCACATACACTGAAGGCCTGAATATATCCCTCCCCAGTGCCGTTTGCTTAGCTGTCCTCTCAGATCCTGAGCTAATGGGTCTGGGGTATGACTTAGGTGTCATGGTTTTTGTAAATGACATATAGTTCGGGTTGGGAAAGCCTCTGCTTTTCATTCTGCACCTCTATTCGAACAACTGTGGTTTAGCAGGCGTTTAAGAATATTTAAACAGTGTGCCTGAAAATGTTCCCTGGCAAGACTGGTTTAATCTGCATCTTCCAGGTAGCATTTCTTCCTGGCTGGGGCCTGCTTTCACAGTTCAGAGTTCATCTTTCTGCAGAGATGTAGCATGACTCCGTTTGGTGTTCTAGTGAGCTTGGAAATAAGTGAGGATGGCTTTCAGTTCAGTTCAGCCGTTGCCTGAGGCTTGCCATTACCCTTCTCAGGCTGTCAGCCTCTGGCAGGGAGAGTTAGCAGTGACCAAAACAAGTTAAGTCCAATGAGAGAGAATGTTGCTTTAATTTCAGGGTTTTTCTTAATTGCTGTCCACACCCTTCTCAACTGTGGGGAACAACCGACCACAGCATAAAATTAATAGGCACTAAAATACCCTTTAATGGGATTCAGGGGTTTTTGACTCATGGGTCTGAACTTGAGACAGGTCAGTTTCATTGGCTCGTTTCTCCCTCATTATCTGTTTTATAGCAAACAGCTATTATTTGTTGTAAATGTTTGTGCGCTGTCTGCAGCTGACCAGCACACATGGGTTCAGAGGCCGCGACTCTTCTGTGTTCAGCCCTGTTGGTATGTTGGCCTCACCTGGAGAGCCTGACCAGCTACTCATACCTATCTGCTTTAGGGATGCTCTCCCTGGAGCATAACCAGGGCACCTGACCATCTAACAGTCATTTGCCTGGTGATGAGTACCACCCAGTAGGTGCCCAACCTCTTTGATGTTGGGTCAGGATGTTGTTGACCTGTGTGTTCAGAACATCCATAGTTATTCTGGGATGCATGGGGCCTGCAGGTTTGGACACCCCTGTGTGGAATGCTCAACGGGAAAGCAGTATCTGGGGGCCACTGAGAGTGAAGTTTCTCAGATGAGAACCGTCACGTAGGGCCACACGGTGACGTGAAGGGCAGATGGGTTCTGTTCTCCTCACTCAAGCCAGCACCCACCAGCTGCCAGTCTGTGACCCGAAGCCCAGCGTGTCTGCCAGTGAGCTAATGGGATATTTATCTGATGATCCGCTTCCATCCTCTCTGAGGGGGCAACAACTAGAATTGCTGAGCAAATGACAAATGGTGCTTGTGTTTGCGTCTTTGTGTTCACAGCTGATTTTGGAACACGTTTTGAGACTGTTTAGCCAGTAATGGAGGAAAGAAAATGAGCAGTCAGGGTGGGGTGAGCGCTGAAGAGAAGCCTCTGAATCTGCCTCAAGGACAGTCTTTCCTTCCTTTCTCCCACATCTTCTCCCAGCCCCTCTGAGGTGCGGGAGCACGTGTGTGTAGCCCAGGTTGCAATGCAAAAGGCTCCAGACGAGGTAGGGGCATGACACTGAAGACAGCCTCTGGCCTGTTTGGTTTACATGACATTCTCAGTCCATGCTTCTGCTGTGTGGAGAGAGACGTTTGGCCTTTCACTGGACTTAGCTAATGAGACTTTTGTTCAGAACAGCTTTCTAACGCTGGGCTTTAGAACTCGGGGGTTGGGGGTGGGGTGGGAATTCACTTTCTTGCACAATAGCAAAGTACATTCTTGAAGTTTTCTATAAAAGTTAAATCAGATTAATCCAAGCTTTCCACAGGGTGATGCGTTCTATCTAGCTGAAACAGGCGGCTTATATATTGACTCTTTATTACTTGATCCTTAGGCCTGACCCCAGAGTGGCCTGTCTGGCTCCTTCAGGTAAGGAGAAATGTAACAGATCTACCCTGAATCACTGAACCTACCTGAGGAATGAGCTTCTGCAACCATCTAGTTAGTAGCTTGTGTCTGGATAGGGTAGGGACTAGAGGGACCAACACAGCCAAGGCCACTGGGAGGAGGAAGAACTTCCTTCCAGGAGATTCTTCCTGAAAAACTCTGTGGGCTCCTGGAGAAGGGATAGGCTGATCATTTTCCCTCCTAGGCATTCCTTTTTAGAACTCCACAAACTGATTCACAAAATAAAACTTCAGTTTACAACATGGCAAGAAAACATGGAATCTACAAACTTTCTTTTCTTTTTTTTTTTTTTTTTTTTAAGTATTTTGGGTACAATCATGAAGACCTTTTAGCTATTTTTGATAGCGAAATGGTTCTTCAGATATCTTGGAATGCTCCTTGAGTTTCAAGTGGTCATTTTGATCTCGAAACTTTGTTTTCTTTTTTTTTTTTTTTTCTGTACTTGTTTTAATTTCTCCACTCCTAGAATCTAGCATCTTCCACTGCTATCTTCGTGGCATCAAGTACCAATCTGACTTCTTTACTGTAGTTGGTGTCGCACACAGGCAAGTCGAAGTCAGCAAACAAAAGAACAAAGATACGTTTGCAATGGGGCATTTTAAAAACGGGAATTCCTTCACAGTTCTGAGTGAGAGTGAGCTCATTAGAATATAAATCTGGCCCAGAGTGGGGTCTACACAGCACTGAGGAATGTTTCCAAAGCTCTGTTATGATTGCTTTGTGAAATTATTAGTTGTTTTCCAGCATTGTCTGGTCCGTATCTAGTAATATGAAGTCATTTTTGATGAGTGACTAGAAGATATCACAACATTTCAGAAATTTTACATTGCTAATTGGTATAAAATTTGCATGTTTAATCATGCATATGTGTGTGTGTGTGTGCGCGCGCGCACGCACGCTCGTATGTGTGCTCACGCTAATTCATAGCTTAATTCATAGCCGGCCAGGACTTGGGCTTTATCTCAACTAAGATTCTCTAGTTAGAAAAAAAAAAAGAGCAATCAAACTGGCTTAAACACTAGAAACACTGGCCTGAGCTTACAGGATTGACGGGTGATGCAGGAGGCTAGATGTCAAGTGCGTTTGACCTGGCTCATCTTCATGCAATGTCTTGGTACTTGCCATCCCCTCTCAGCTCACAGAGGCGGCTCCAATGAGAGGTAAGGTCCTCTCCTGAGTTGGGATTTGAGGTAGGCCGGCCTGCGTTACTGTCAGCTCACCATCGCTTTCAGATGTGTGGAGTCTGGAGAATGTAGAGTCCCCAGGCGCCTGAGGACTACCACTCTGCCTGCTAGCCCTGGCCTGACTGCCTGCAGGCCACCACACTCTAGGCTGAAAAACAGTGGTGTGGACTTCTGACACTCTACCTCGACCTAAGTCATTTTCTCTAGCCCCGAGGTTGATGACGAGGCAGCTTCCTTCCTATTTCCACGGTGGGCAATTTAAGCTGATCAACTCCTCGTTCCAGTTCCACCTGGACGAGGGAGAAGAGTGACGGCTGGCCCTCACTTTCTCAGGAAGGGCTTAATTCCTCTGGGATTGCTGCCTCTGAACTAGTGGTTCTCAGCCTGGGGAGTCAAATGACCCTTTCACAGGGGTCTCGTGAGACCATCAGAAACGTAAGATGTTTTACATTACAGTTCATAACAGGAGCAAAATTACAGCTATGAAGTTGCAAGGAAAGTAATTTTACGGCTGGGAGTCACCGCAACACGAGGAACCGTATTAAAGGGTCGCAGCCTTAGGAAGGTTGAGAAACACTGCCCTAGACTCTGAGATGTTCAGTCATTGGTGGAGTTTTAGTAGTAGCAGTAATAAATGATAATAGAAATGTCTATGTTTTGTTTTGTTTTATTTTTTCTGATTTTTTTTTTCTCCAGTGTTCCTTGTTGAAAACAGCAGCCTTCTATGTTCTGGATCTTTGTTCTGGAT